TTTTGAACCCATATAGACACATTTAAACACCTATTAGGCACATAGTTTCGGAAAATTAAAAAATTTTCCACAATTATATAATATAAATATAAATCGTAATATATTATATAATTTTTTATAAACACACTGCCGGATTCCCACCAAAAAAGGGGGTGCCCGAAAAAGAAAAACTTTCACCATCATTTACTCCATCACTGTCTTGCCCGAAGGGTGCTTTACACTACAGTTTTTAAACTGCAACATTAACACCCCTATATAATAATATATATATAATAATATATATATATATAATATATATATATATATATATATATATATATATAATATATAAAATATATATATATATATATATAAATCATTTATTATTTTTAATATACAGTCCACAAATTTATATATTTACCAGCATTCCTGGTGTATGTATATTTCATTTATAATTAATAGGTCCAGAGCAACTTGTGGACATGACAGTGGTGGTTATCGAAGGGGGACATTTTTTGCGAACTAGGTGTCCCAAAGTCCTACTTGTCTATGTAACATTGATAAATAATAATTATCTTTGTTATGTACTGTTATGCACATAATGAGTTACATTAGCAGTAAAGGTCGAGAACCAAAACCTAGTCATTGTGGTAGTCTACAAGCCTCCGGATGCAACATCCCAGCAATTCCAGGAACAGCTGTTAAAAATTGACCACTGTCTGGAAAATCTTCCTGCTCCTGCACCCAACATCTTGCTCCTGGGGGATTTCAACTTAAGGCACCTAAAATGGAGGAATATAGCAAATAATATTGTTGCAGTAATAACACCAGGATGTTATTACTCACACGAGCTTTTAAATCTCTGCACAAAATTCAATTTAAACCAGCAAATAATAGAGCCTACTAGACTGGAGAATACACTAGACCTCATCTTCACTAACAATGATGATCTGATAAGAAACGTCACAATATCAAAAACAATATACTCAGATCACAACATAATTGAGGTTCAGACATGTATGCGCGGAGCCCCAGACCGACATAATGAGATTAGTCACGAGGGAGCATTCACCAAATTCAACTTCAATAACAAAAACATAAAGTGGGACCAAGTAAAACCCAAATCCTAACCGATATAAGCTGGGAAGATATACTAAGCAACACAGACCCCAGCTTATGCCTAGAACAGATTAACTGGGGGCACTCGATTATGCACAAGGCTTAATCCTCTAAGAAAAAGGAGGAGTAATTAAAAAAGAAAGAGACAGGCGCTCTCTTTACGGGCGACGGAAAAGAATAACAGCAGCTAAAAGAGGTCAATAATCTGAAATGCGTAGGAGACACTGGTCAGAGAAATAGCAAGCATCGGGAAATTAAGCTAAAGGAAACTTATAGGAGTCAGGAATCGCGGGAAAACTAAAGCCATAAAAGAAACAAAAGAAACCCAAAGTATTTCTTCTCCTATGCCAAATCAAAGTCGAGAACAATGTCCAGTATTGGGCCCCTACTTAAACAAGATGGGTCATACACAGATGACAGCAAGGAAATGATGAGCTACTCAAGTCCCAATATGACTCAGTTTTTAGCAAGCCGCTAACCAGACTGAAGTCGAAGATCAAAATGAATTTTTTAAGAGAGAGCCACAGAATTTTTGGTTTAACACAAGCCTATCCGATGTTATCCTGACGCCAAATGACTTCGAACAGGCGATAAATGACATGCCCATGCACTCTGCCCCAGGGCCAGACTCATGGAACTCCGTGTTCATCAAGAACTGCAAGAAGCCCCTATCACAAGCCTTTTCCATCCTATGGAGAGGAAGCATGGACACGGGGGTCGTCCCACAGTTACTAAAAACAACAGACATAGCCCCACTCCACAAAGGGGGCAGTAAAGTAGCAGCAAAGAACTACAGACCGATAGCGTTAACATCCCATATCATAAAAATCTTTGAAAGGGTCCTAAGAAGCAAGATCACCACCCATCTAGAAACCCATCAGTTACACAACCCAGGGCAACATGGGTTTAGAACAGGTCGCTCCTGTCTGTCTCAACTATTGGATCACTACGACAAGGTCCTAGATGCACTAGAAGACAAAAGGAATGAAGATGTAATATATACAGACTTTGCAAAAGCCTTCGACAAGTGTGACCATGGCGTAATAGCGCACAAAATGCGTGCTAAAGGAATAACAGGAAAAGTCAGTCGATGGATCTATAATTTCCTCACTAACAGAACACAGAGAGTAGTCGTCAACAGAGTAAAGTCCGAGGCAGCTACGGTGAAAAGCTCTGTTCCACAAGGCACAGTACTCGCTCCCATCTTGTTCCTCATCCTCATATCCGACATAGACAAGGATGTCAGCCACAGCATCGTGTCTTCCTTTGCAGATGACACACGAATCTGCATGACAGTGTCTTCCATTGCAGACACTGCAAGGCTCCAGGCGGACATCAACCAAATCTTTCAGTGGGCTGCAGAAAACAATATGAAATTCAACGATGAGAAATTTCAATTACTCAGATATGGTAAACACGAGAAAATTAAATCTTCATCAGAGTACAAAACAAATTCTGGCCACAAAATAGAGCGAAACACCAACGTCAAAGACCTGGGAGTGATCATGTCGGAGGATCTCACCTTCAAGGACCATAACATTGTATCAATCGCATCTGCTAGAAAAATGACAGGATGGATAATGAGAACCTTCAAAACTAGGGAGGCCAAGCCCATGATGACACTCTTCAGGTCACTTGTTCTATCTAGGCTGGAATATTGCTGCACACTAACAACACCTTTCAAGGCAGGTGAAATTGCTGACCTAGAAAATGTACAGAGAACCTTCATGGCGCGCATAACGGAGATAAAACACCTAAATTACTGGGAGCGCTTGAGGTTCCTAAACCTGTATTCCCTGGAACGCAGGCGGGAGAGATACATGATTATATACACCTGGAAAATCCTAGAGGGACTAGTACCGAACTTGCACACGAAAATCACTCACTACGAAAGCAAAAGACTTGGCAGACGATGCAACATCCCCCCAATGAAAAGCAGGGGTGTCACTAGCACGTTAATTAAGAGATCATACAATAAGTGTCAGGGGCCCGAGACTGTTCAACTACCTCCCAGCATACATAAGGGGGATTACCAACAGACCCCTGGCAGTCTTCAAGCTGGCACTGGACAAGCACCTAAAGTCGGTTCCTGACCAGCCGGGCTGTGGCTCGTACGTTGGTTTGCGTGCAGCCAGCAGTAACAGCCTGGTTGATCAGGCTCTGATCCACCATGAGGCCTGGTCACAGACCGGGTCGCGGGGGCGTTGACCCCCGGAACTCTCTCTAGGTAAACTCCAGTACATCCTTCAGAGTACATCCTTCAGAGTACATCCTTCAGAGTACATCCTTCAGAGTATATCCTTCAGAGTACATCCTTCAGAGTACATCCTTCAGAGTACATCCTTCAGAGTACATCCTTCAGAGTACGTCCAGAATCCGTCCACTCCACACCCTTATTGTTTTATTAATAAATATGCATAACAACACCTGTTAAATAAGAAATTGATCACACTTATTTATTTATTTATTATTGTTTGGACATGATACATGGTTGTACATTATTATTATAATCAAGGGGGAAGCGCTAAACCCGTAGGATTATACAGCGCCTGGGGGGGGGATGTGGAAGGCATTCAGGCTTAATTCGGGGAACTGGAGCACAGATCCAATTCCCTAAATCAAGAGCCCCTCACCAACATCAAGGAACCTTCCCTGAGGGGACATGGTTGTACAAAGAAATATAGTGAGATAAGATTTCATTCGGATTTTTAACCCCGGAGGGTTAGCCACCCAGGATAACCCAAGAAAGTCAGTGCGTCATCGAGGACTGTCTAACTTATTTCCATTGGAGTCCTTAATCTTGTCCCCCAGGATGCGACACACACCAGTCGACTAACACCCAGGTACCTATTTGCTGCTAGGTGAACAGGTGTAAGGAAACGTGTCGAAATGTTTCCACCCGCCGGGAATCGAACCCGGGCCCTCCGTGTGTGAAGCGGGAGCTTTAGCCACCAGGCCACCGGGCGTACATGGTTGGGTGTACATGTCAAAAAGGCCCTTGTATGCAGAGCATTATGGGCAGGCTGAAAATTAACTTAAGATTAACTAAGCAATGATATATTCAGTGGTAAAATTACAGTAAATAAATTAAAACATGAAGTACAAATGAGTATTTCAGATAAGAAGCTTTATAGGTGTACAAATTTGTAGCACAATAATTTATAATATAATCGTAAAGAACATTAATCATAATCGTGCACCGCATGCTACTGACTTTCTTTTGTGTCTAACAATATTTTATTACATGTAAAATACATTTTCTGTGTATTGCATAAAAACAATTAAATTTGAATTTGAATTTAATATCATGAATGAAGATGCCTGGCAACTGTTGTTGTGATGACGTCACGCGCTATGACGTCACAGCAATTAGCACTCAGAAATGAAGGGAATTTTTTTTTTTTTTTTTATGCGAAGCGGTCTCTGTTGCTCATATTCTCATATATCTCACCTCTGTGTACGTTTTAACCAACAGTTTGGCAATGGAAGGCAAATTAAATTCGGAAGTGATTCGGGTAGCGGTTACGAGGTCATTTAACTCCGCCACCGCCCTCAGCGACAGTTGAATACCTAGCTGGTTATTACTTAATTTATACTCATCAGGGGGGAGGTGCCTTGATGTTGGTGTGTGTGGGGGGGGGCTTTTTGATATAGGGAACCGGACCTGTCCTTCCCTTTCCTTGGATTAAGCCTGAGTGCCTCTCCGGTGCTGTAATGACCCCCACGGGTTTAGCGCTTCCCCTAAATGTCACAGAAATAACATTATTTCATTTAATGAGGGTACTTATAAAGATTTACGATTCTCTTATAAATAAATATTCCCCCTCTTCAAATGCGTTCACTCCCGGCTATAATACTCTTTTAGTAATAATAATAATAAGAATTATAACAAAAATTATATGCCTTGTTTAACAATTTTATGAACACGTAAAATATCCCGTGTGTGTAAATTTAATTATTTTGCCAGTTTATGTGTTAATTTTACCCCTACATTTAAAAATATATTAGCGGTTAGTGTCACCGTGAAATATTACTCGCGGAGGAGACGACGCACACGGAAGGTAATGGTCTTCGTATTCTTTATTTTTACATGAATTTCCCCGCTGCCACTTGTGTTTGAGCGGTGATGTTGCCCCCAGTGTCACACCCAGAGGTAGAGCTTCCATGCCTGGGGTTTAGATCGGTGGTGGAGGTTGGATAGGGAAGAAATAAGGCGAGAAGACTGGATTGTAGGGAGGGTAATACAAAGAGACGCTGCGTGGGTCCCACCATCATGGCGCAGTCTTGTTAGTGCCTGCTGCCTTGATCATCATCCAGGGCCCTTGATACTAGCAGTTAACCTGCATTGATGATGCTCTTGATACTAGCAGTTAACCTGCATTGATGCTCCAGGGCCCTTGATACTAGCAGTTAACGTGCATTGATGCTCCAGGGCCCTTGATACCAGGAGTTAACGTTGATGCTCCAGGGCCCCTGATACCAGGAGTTAACGTGCATTGATGCTCCAGGGCCCTTGATACCAGGAGTTAACCTGCATTGGTGATGCTCTTGATACTGGGAGTTAACCTGCATTGATGCTCCAGGCCTTTGATACCAGTTAACATGCATTGATGCTCCAGGGCTCTGAATACCAGTTTAATCTGCGTTGGTGATGCTCCAGGGCCCTTGATGCCAGTTCCTGCATTAATTCTCCAGGGCTCTTGATACCAAAAGTACTAACTTGCATTGGTTCTCTTGATACTAGGAGTTAACCTACATTGATGCTCTTGATACTAGGAGTTAACCTGCATTGATGCTCCAGGCCCTTGATACCAGTATACCCGCATTGATGATGCTCCAGGGTCATTGATGCTAGGAGTTTAAGCATTAATGCTCCAGGGTCCTTGATACCAGGAGTTAACCATTGGTGATGCTCCAGGGCCCTTGATACCAGGAGTTAGCTTGCATTGTTCTTGATACTAGAAGTTAACCTGCATTGGTGTTCTTGATACTAGGAGTTAACCTGCATTTGTGATGCTCCAGGTCCTTGATGCCAGTTATCCATTGATGTTCCAGGGCCCTTGATACCAGGAGTTAACCTGCATTGATTCTTCAGAACCCTTGATACTGGTTAATCTGCATTAATAATGCACTAGGGCCCTTAATACCAGGAGTTAACCATTGGTGATGTTCCAGGGCTCTTGATACCAGGAGTTACCTGATTTATGATGCTCTAAGTCCCTTATACAAGGAGTTGCCTGCCTTTATTTTCCAGGGCCCTTGGTACCAGGAGTTACATGCTTTGTTGTTATAGGGCCCTTGACATCAGGAGTTACCTTCCTCAGTGTTCCAGTGCTTTTGATACCAAGAGTTGTACACCTTGATGTTGATCCACGGGCTCTTGACATGAGTTTATTTTTGTTCCAGGGCTTTTGATCACTTGCATTGATACCAGAATTTATATTGATATTACAGGGTTCTCGATATTAGGTGTTACCTTTATCTGGGGTCTTGATACCAGGGATTACATTGAGGACTTGATATCAGTTGCCTACTTTGATGCTCCGGGGCTCTTGATATGTATTGCCTTATTGTCTCGGCTTTCGATACCAGGACTTGCCTGTATTGTTAATCCAGGGCTCTTGATACCAGAAGTTGCCTGCCTTGATGCTCCACGTCTCTTATTACCAGCAGTTTCTTGCATTGTTACTCCAGAACTTGACAGAGGGAGTTACTCGGCTTGATGCTCCAGGGATCCTGATACCAGTGCTGTGTTGTGTTAATGTTCCAGGGCTCTTAATACCAGAACTTAACCTGCCTTAGTAGTCCATTTCTCTTTATATGAGCTACATGCCTTGATGGTCAAGGGCTCATAATACCAGGAGCTACCTGCTTTGATTACAGTGCAAGGCTCATGATACAGGGAGGCACCTGCTTTGATGGTCCATGATTTGATACCAGGGTTACCTGCCTTGATGGTCCAGTGCTCTTGATCCCAGGGATTGTGTTTGGGGAGTCTTGATGGTCAGGGATTGTGTTGTCTGGGAGATATTTTGATGGTCCAGGCAGTCTCCTCGAGGAGCTACCTGCCTTGATGCTGCTCAAGGATTCTTGATGTTGGATTGTTTCAGGGAGTTAGCTGCCTTTATGCCAGTCCAGGGCTCCTGATCCAAAGGATTGTCTCATCAGGGAGGTGTCTGGTTTTAGGGGGTGTCTCCTTAAGGAGCTGCCTGCTTTGATGCTGGTCCATGGCTCTTGATTGCAGGGATTGTCTTATCAGTGGTACCTTGATGTTTGAAAGTTCTTGACCCTCAGAGATTGTCTTGTCAGGGAGGTACTTTAATGCTGATCAAGAGCTCTTGATCCCAAATATTGTCATAGAGCTCCCATGATGCTCTTCAGGGTCTCTTGAATGTAAGGATTGTCTCAAAGTACACTGAAGTGCCTCAAAGGCTCTTGATCCTTAGGATTGTAGCCCCCTCTCCCTCCCACATTCAGATCAAGCCTAGATTGCCTCACAGTCCCCAAGTGCCATGTAACTCCTATGGGTTTAGTACCTCCCCATGAATAGGACTCATTCTTCAAGTGGTTTATGTGCATCTCATCAGTTCGATTCAGTGAGGTTCACCAGTAATGTTCCAGCCTGGGTCCTGTTCAGGGTGCATCTCTGATGCTGATACCCCTTGAGGGGGAGGCTCTTGATTCAAGGAATTTGACTTGCCCTTCCTCTCCTGTGAATTTGATTGCCTCTTATTGACCTTGGCACTGTATGACCTTTAGGGGTTTAGTGTTCTCACATCATTACAATAATGTATAAGCTCATAAAGGCTCTTAATCAGAGGAAATGCAGGTACCCTCCTCTTTCTTAGAGACATCATGATTAATAAGATGAGAATGAAGAAACACTGCAGCAGGCCTACTGGCCCATGCTATGCAGGTTCAACTCTCGACCACCCAGGCCCACTCATATACTCATCAAACCTATATATTGAAGGTGCTTGAAATTCTTGTCAGTGACGCTACAGGGAAGTTTATCTACGACTCTTGCTTAACCAGCACTTCCTTATATCCTTTCTAAATCTAAATTTGTTCAAGTTGAATCCATTGCTTTGAGCCCTGTCTTGACTAGCTGTTTTCAACACCATTAGCATTGTATTCCTATTATTATATTTCTGTTTTCCATTTGTGCACCTCAAACCTATCCTAATTTTGTCTTTCCAGAGTGTACATATTTAGTGCATTCAGCCTGTCTTTGTAGGAAAAGTTTCTACAAAGATAGGCTGGGTTACTTCCTATTCTTCAGGTGCTGTATGACCCTTGCCAGTCATATAACATCCTGATGTGTATTGACTTTAGTGATTACTTTAATCCCTCTTTTATTTTTTTTGAGGATTAAAGTGCTTTTGATTGGTGGTAGTTCATTGATTTTGCAGCCTTAATGACCCCTGTGTAATTGATAGGCTTTAAATCTAGCCAACCAACCCACAATGATTGATGCTGTTATAGGCTCGTTCAAGTCATTTTCAGATTCTGTTACTGCTGCTGCTCGTTTAACTACATCATCTGAGCCATAAGAGAGCCTACATAGCAGTGCTGAAATGAGTATAATGGAGTATGAAGTGGGTTGGGCTGTTACATAAGCTATAGTGATCTTTGCATGGTGCCTGTAACATTGGTGAGATCATTGTAAACAGAAGGCTGTTCTCTGGGTGTGTTCAAAATCATTATTAACAGTATTGAACCTTGGGTCTTATTTATAATTTGAATATTATACTATGAATGTGTACAAGTACTTACTAGCATGTAAATACCAAGACATTTATTGAAGGTGTTTAGCCACTGATGGTCTTTTTTAACCTAATGAAAAAGCCATTGATGGTGGAAAATTTCCTTTAATAAATGTCTTGGATGTGCACATGTTTTATTTCTACTGTGAATGTGTGGAGGTACAAGGGCTTCAAAAAACAGTTCAGGTTGTAAATAGAATCTGCTTGGTTTCCATTCAACAAGCTATTAGAAAGTAATTGTAATTTTTTTAGCGCCTCTAATGAATTTGAATCATAAAATGGTTTGAGGCTGTTTTTGAGAACACAAGAATGGAGGAGCCCTGCAGTAAGTTTACTGGCTCATGCTAGGCAGGTGCTGCTCTCGCCCACTCATTTCCACTTGGATTTGTCTGATCTGTTTAGCTGCTTTGGAGTGTTTCACTTGGCTCTAATTATTGCCGGACCAGTGTTTTCCTATGCCCTTTCTAAAGAAATTTATTCAGTTTAAAATTATTGCTGCGAGCTTTGTTGGTTAGATGTTTTTAACACCTTTACTTTTGTTTATTTCTGTTTTCCATTTGCCCAGTTCAGTCATGTTGCTACTAATTCTTCCCCTAGGTAGAGAGTGCAAGTTCAGGGCTTTTAACATGTCATGAGATAATAAAAACTGTTGATGTAAGGAATTAACTTAAAATTCATTATATGTTGTCAGATGCATCCTTCTCTGTGTATTCTCCAGAGTATCTACAGTATATCCATTCTGTATTATGAAGAAAAGTTTATACTATCCTGTGATCAAAGTGAGGCATTGCTAGTGATATGTCGAGTTGTACTACTGTATAACTTCTGCACACTTGTTACTTACCATGTACTTTGTTACATGAAGCCAAGAAGTATTATATTTAATACAGACACTTACGCACTGTTGACATCAGAGATCTCGTAACCACAATTCCTAAGTTTTCCTATTCATTTCATTAAGTTTCTCTATCACTGTATTTAATTTGTAAGTTCATGGTTATTTCCTTTTCAGGAGGATTAGAATTCTGTGTTTGTCCACATTGAACTGCATCTGCCACTTTTCTGACCACATAGTCTATCCAACTTATCCTGGCATTCTCTGATTTTTTTTTTTCCTCAGCTTATTCGTTAGCCTTTCTTTCTGATTGCAAACTTATGTTACAATGCTGTTGATGCAGATTGTAAACAAATGGCCCTCTTCTGACTTGTGGAATGCTGTTTGTGGCAAGCTCTCATTCTGAGTTTTCCCCATTTGTTATGTACTATTGCTTCTCTGTCAACCATGCCTTAATCAA